TGTGTGTGTGTGTGTGTGTGTGTGTGTGTGTGTGTGTGTGTGTGTGTAATCAGGAACTCGGCTTGATCCCCTCTGGTATGTGCTTTCGGGAGTGTTTGTCAAAGGGCAGCAGCACAGCCTGAAGTAACGACACAAAAAAAAAAAAGGGCCTTCGCTGGTTTCCCTCCGAAAACCTTTGGTGCAACGTATTTAATTAGTCTGATATTAAAGACTTTATTATTCAACACGCTACACTTTATATCACTATACTTTTAATTGCATTTTAGGAGAGAAAAAAGCACCAAATATAAGGAACCTTAAGGTGGAACCGCAAGAAACTACTATTTTTGAGAAAGATTTTTCTCTTTAATTAGTTTGTATACTTATAGTAAGTAGTGAAACACTGTTGTGGTGTGATTTTATCAAGAGACTTTTATTAATTTACATACATTCTCTTGTTTATGTCTGTGATTTTATTTGATCGTGTGATTTATTTTATTATTGTAAAGCAGCAAATAAAGTGACTTGACTGTAAAGTCAGATTTGTACACGTTCTATTTAATGTCCTAAAAACCTGTTTTCACTATCTCACTGTTAATCACCACCGTAGAGGATATCCAGCCTTTAAGAGAAGGCAACAGGTCGTGTGACTTTCTACATGAATATGTCAAACATGATCTGATTCAGTTCTCATTTGTGTCGTTAAACGAGGGTGAGAGCCGGCAGGAAGCGCCGAGTGTTAGATATCAGAACAGTGTGTCGGAGTGGGCGAGTTACCGAGGTTATCGGGAGTCCACCTCACATTTCCAGATGAGAGGAGAAATAACGAGTCACATTTTGGTGTCTTTTTCGGTCAAACATTATGATTATTTCTTCTTCTTTTCTTACCGTTGCCTGCGATGGTCTGAGCCTCGATTTCATTAGCTTTCCTCTTGGCCACGTCCGCTAGCACCACCTCGCCCTTATCGCTGGCAACATAATGGAGGTCCTTTGAAGGAAATGCAAGAGAGAAAGAAACGAGAACGTTAATCTAAAATGAATCTAGACTCCGATGACAATAGTTTTTGGAGGGGTGGGGGGGGGGGGTTGGTTGGAGAAAGAAGAAACAGATGAAATGAGAAGGAGCAAAAAAAAATGAGCCGTTTGAAGGCCAACATCAGAAAGAGCACCGGTTGGATGAAATGCCGGTTCCTCCAAAACTTTGAAATCAGCCTGCCCCCCCCCCCCCCTCCCCCTCCTCCCCTCACACCCTCATCTCCGTTTTTTTGAACTAGGGAGGATGTTATCTGTCACATTTCAAAAGTGGGAGAGGAGGCGAGGGACTGTTCACCTTTCAGAAACGCTGCTATTCTCTCTTTACGGAGAAACATATCCAGCCGAGCACATTACTACATCAGCCCGAGACAATATTGGGAACAGCGTGTTTCCTCTGTATCTCTCTGTTTGAGTCTCGCAGGACCATAAAGAGAAGATAATAATGCTAAAAGATGTCTGAGGGTGGCCGTCATATATTCAGCATGTTGCCCCAGTAGCTCCAGTGAAGCCCGTCAACAACTAAACTGGTCAGCTCCCAGTAGCTCCAGTACTAAATGTACATAATGTGGACTGTGCTTAAATCAAAGTGATTAAAAGTAAACATTAGTTTAGATGTCAACAGTCTAAATGTGAAAAAGATTCTGCAACAGTCAACCTCTTAAAGTGATTGAACAGAGAGTGAATCACACGCTCCTCCTGGCTCCCAACGAGGAGTCGCAGGGCCTGAGGGCCCATCAAAGGGCCCAGCGTGTTAAGAAAAGTCTTCCGCCTCAGCGACATCACAGGACATCGGTGCCGTGACTCAGGGCTCGCTGTGGATAACCCTCAGCTGGCTAAAGCCAGCCCCCAGCTGAGCCTGCACCCGGCCCTAATACCCCCATATTGTAACCCGGCTTTTGTACCCCCGGAGGAAAAATGAGGTGAGGGGGAGCTGAGAGGGAAAGGGGGGGGGGGGGGGGGGAGTATGAGAGGGACAGAGAGGTTGCTGAAATTGAAGAGTATGAATGGGAACAGATTGGGTAATTACAGTGCGGTGCCTGCCCTCCGTGGCGAAGAGTTAGGAGGAAATGCGAAAATGGGCGACAACAAAATGGCCTCAAAAAGGAGCTAAATCGGCTCCCAGGACCGAGGCGGCTAACTCAGGGCGAGGGACACGGCCCCTCAATCAGATGTGAGCGAGGCTTCCTAATTGATAACAAACAGAGCGGCAGAAGATCAAAGATAAAAACAGGCATCACAGTGAAACGAGAGAGAGCTGTGAGACGGTGAACAAGACATGAAAGAAACATTTCACAACAAGGAGAGAGAGAGGGAGAGAGAGAGAGAGAGAGAGACAGAGAGAGAGAGACAGAGGGAGAGAGAGAGAGAGACAGAGAGAGAGAGAGAGAGAGAGACAGAGAGACAGAGGGAGAGAGAGAGAGATTGTATGACAGAGGGAACAGAACAATATGAACATTTGATGCCGGGGCGCTTTATTCCAGCTTAGCTCCTCATAATACTGTCTGAATCTGGAGAGAGGGAGAAAGAATAAACGAGAAAATGAGAGAGAGAGACAGAGAGAGAGAGAGAGAATCAGCCCGACTAAGAAGGGATAACAATAATACTGCATATAAAACCATCAGATATTACAACTCTTATTCCCAGACGCTCAAACGCGACACTAATCTTATTTATATAAGAGCTTTAGGGGTTGCGGCGCCTGATAAAGAGAGGCGGTTTTCGGGGGAGTCGAGGGGAGGGGGGGGGGGGGAGGTTGGTGGACACTAAGAGCCCGATATTGACTGATATTTGGGTTACCTCCAAATAAATGAGGGATTAGGTTAACTGGCACACAGCAGCGCTAACAGACGGGATCATGTCTGAGTGTTTGCAGTCTGTTACTGTCAAACACCATCAATGGGACGTTCAGCTTTTATAGTTCAGGCATTACGAGCACAGAGGAACTTATTATTGATGTACGGACAGATTCAGTGATTTCTGACTGCAGTACCAGCACACGACTGTTCAATTTAAAAGGATAAATTAGACGGTAATCAGAGATGTTTACAGCAGCCCGGAGCTATTCTGTGATTATTATTTGTGATCTTGGTGTTTAAACATTTCACAGAGATAACGGGAAAAACAACTTGTTGCATTTGGTGCAGAGAGTAATGAGAGTTTAGTGTTAAAGCAGCAAAATATTTCAAAAATAATAATAATTTATTGCTTGAAAAATGTACACATCTTGTGGTTATACTACAATCATGTTTAAATCAAATTCTGCCTATTAGCAACTCAATGCACCATATTTATCTTTAATTAATTGATATTTTCAAGCAAAACATGTCGGGTGATAATACGAGTAAATGAATAAAGTCTTTAAATTACACATGTAACTGCTTACATCTTATAAAGACACACACATATATATATATATACATGATTATTATGTATTTTATAAATCAGTTTATGTGGGATTTTGTTCAGGTATAATGTGACAAAAGAGCCGTCAAACTTTTACTATAAATGTTATTATCATCTGTCAAAATGACCGTCGTGAAAGAGTGATTTCAGACACAGTCTCTGTGTTTGTATGTGTGACTGTAAATGATCTCCTCTCAGTTTTCAGGCTTCGTTGCAACATCTGGAAACATCTCACATCCCTTTAGGATCAACACACCAACAACAATTAGTCCCAGAAACTCAAATGTTTTAGGATTGAATTTCCCTAAAACAGGCATGAAAACATGAAAACCCACATAGACTAGTTAACACCCAGCATAATGGCACACCTGTTATCCAGGAGCCTTGTGTTTGACTGATCAGATCGGTGTTAAGGACTTAACGTTTCATTAATGCTAATTACTCATCTGAGCGACAACAATGAGCTTATTGCCGAAGACGTGCGATACCTCCTCCTCCTCCTGCAGCGCCGGCAGGCCCGTCAGATAGAGGAGGAAGATAGGAGGTGAACCCAACAGCTTTCTTTACTACTGGTGTATCTAACAAGAAACACTACAAGCCCCCCCACCGCCCCCTCACCCTCATTGGGGAACAAAAAGAGCCGGCATCAGATTCGGCTATCACACAATTTGATTTAATTAACGAGCTACATCGAGAGCCAGAAGGAAGAGGAGGATGAAGAGGAGGAGAAAGGGGAGGTGGAGCTTGACTTGGCTGACGAATGACCTAATTGGTTACATTATCAACTCATTATCAAAGGCTAATTAGGGAGCTACAGAACAGCGCCAATTATGAAAAAAGAAAAATGCAAACGACTCAGTAACCCCCTGCTACTACCCCCCCCCCAAAAAAAACCACCTCCCGACCACCGACTCCTCCTCCCCCTCACTAAAGAGTTTCATTTTGACAAAAGGTTTGGAAAGGCCTCCATTGTTAGCTGGGAAACAATGTGTCTTGAAGGGGTGTGTGTGGGGGGGGGTGGGGGTTCTTGTGTTAAAGGGGAGAGGGGGGGAGAGGGTGAGTGTATCATGCTGGGCGTTTCTAGAAGAGGTGAGGCTTGTTATCTACATTTGTTTGAGCACTGTTTTATCAAGTCCATGGCGCGTTATGGAGTTCTGAGGAAGTTAGAGAGTCGGGTGAGAGGTGGGGGTCGTTGGCCTCGTTGACCTCCTCCACCTCGACTCAATCAGCTGACCAGCAGGTTAAAGAAACAACACAAAACCCCAATTAGAGCGACTGGGTGAAATGTCAACGTCCCTCTTTCTGTTTTCGTCGCTCTTTTCACACGATGAGTTGCTGCTCTCTTGGTCGCTCGTTGTTACAGTGTCTTACGATGAGGAGGATTTGCAAATATCTGTGAGATTGTTGTAATAACAACCGTTAAAAAAGGTTTTCACACTATCCATGTTGTTTGGTTTTACAACAGGAAGTCACAAATATTCATCTTTATTGTTTGATATCTTACAAAAAAGTTACTCCTCATTGTTCGTGCGTTTTCCTACGAAAATCCAGCAACATGCGTCAATTTCTACTCATTACATACACACGGTCCTTTCAAAATAAACTTCTGTCTTCAACAGAAACAACTTAGTTAGGTTTAGTCAACAAAAGTACGTAGTTAGGTTTAGGAAAAGATCGGGAAATAGTTACATATTCGTCAGTACAGTTAAGAACGCTGGATGAGACCAGCCTGCTCTGGTGGCTGTCAGGTGAAGTTTTAGAGAAACTGAACTGAAATGGACGAGTGACTCGGCTCCATAATTGGAGGTTTTGTAGTTTCGTGGTCATGCGGTCAGAGGAACCACTGGACGGTGACATCACACCACCTTCACACGATCAGGCTGTGAGAGCAAGTGATCCACATTATATTACACGACTCTCCTTTAGTCGACTCTGCAGCGTCTTGAAAACATTATGAAAACTGTGAAAAGCAGGTAAATCTATCCTAATTTGTCACTTCATGTCTAATTTCACGACCAATAACTTGGCAGGAAAAGAAGCTGAGGGGTATCCTTATTTCATTCTTTTCCTTTTAATATTTCTGCAAAGAAATTTAAAAAAGGAACACAAGTCCTTAGTTTGTGCACACGTCTCTCTACATGAATAAACATCATCTGCCTCTACGGAGTTAACTCTTAACACAAAGACAAGGATTTTGACAAGCTAGCGCACATACACTACATGTTTATGAATGTATGTGTATCTATATGGGAATAAATCGCTGCTAGAACATTTATTGTTGAATTCAAACATTATTTACATTTAACGCTCATCTTCTGATTCCTTCTTTCTCTCCTCATTCATCTCTCCACACGTCCAGAGTGACGGAGAAAGACCGTGTTTCTTTTTTATTTATTGCGTTCGTCATATAGCTTTCCATCCATCCACCCCCCCCCCCAAACCCCCCTCCTCTACTCTCTGCACCCCCCCTCTCCTTCCTCTTCGCTCTTTCAAGGTCCACAGGCTCGACTCCACCTTTTCAATTCGGCTTCCCAGCAGCACTACTTAGTGGGGAGGTAATTGGAACCAGTGCTATCAGTGTGATTGAGGGAGCAAGTGTGTGTGTGTGTGTGTGTGTGTGTGTGTGTGTGTTAATGTGTAGGGTGTTGGTGAAGCATGGAGCAGAAAGGGGGCCCCCATCACGAAAAAGGGGGTCAAACACATAGAGGAGCATTTCAGCATGGAGTGGAAGAAAAAGCGAGTTAGAGGGAAGATGAGAGGAGAGGAAAAGGCCGAGCCGAGGCCATGGAGGTTGTGAAAAGATAGGGGCCCACACTGAGATCACACCTGCTCTCTGACACACACACACACACACACACATACACACACACACACACACACACACACACACACACACACACACACACA